TGGAGTCCTTCGGGAGATAAACCTGTAAATATGTCCTCTCCGCCTGGAGAGAGAGAGAGAGACAGAGAGACAGAGACAGAGACAGAGACAGAGACAGAGAGAGAGAGAGAGAGAGAGAGAGAGAGAGAGAGAGAGAGAGACAGAGACAGAGACAGAGAAAGAGACAGAGACAGAGACAGAGACAGAGAGAGAGAGAGAGACAGAGACAGAGAGACAGAGAGAGAGAGAGAGAGAGAGAGAGAGAGAGAGAGAGAGAATATACACTGCAGATGGTATATAGAAATCAAACAAGTTACCATACACAAAAAGCAGGAGAGGACTCTTTAAAGTAGAGACACTACATACTGATATACACCTGAACATCAGCAGGAGAGGACTCTTTAAAGTAGAGACACTACATACTGATATACACCTGAACATCAGCAGGAGAGGACTCTTTAAAGTAGAGACACTACATACTGATATACACCTGAGCATCAGCAGGAGAGGACTCTTTAAAGTAGAGACACTACATACTGATATACACCTGAACATCAGCAGGAGAGGACTCTTTAAAGTAGAGACACTACATCAGCAGGAGAGGACTCTTTAAAGTAGAGACACTACATACTGATATTGATACAGCAGGAGAGGACTCTTTAAAGTAGAGACACTACATACTGATATACACCTGAACATCAGCAGGAGAGGACTCTTTAAAGTAGAGACACTACATACTGATATACACCTGAACATCAGCAGGAGAGGACTCTTTAAAGTAGAGACACTACACACTGATATACACCTGAACATCAGCAGGAGAGGACTCTTTAAAGTAGGGTCTTACCTGTGGAAGCCCCTTGTCTCCCGCAGCATGAAGCTTCAGTTTCATTAACGCCACTTTAGCTGCTGTGGTGCTGCTCTTCGCTCCTCTTCGTCCTTTAGCTTTAGATGTGTCCTTTGACTCTGAGGGGGAACACAGACCGACGTACAGCATTTTAGAAACACCCCTTTTTGTATGCGTGCTTCTAGTTAACATGAAGGCTCTTTTCTGCTGTAGCAATAAAGGTATTCTGATTCTGAGAACACATACTGACCCCATGTGGACAAACACGGAATCACATTAGAAATGAACTCAGGATATAAACTCTGAAACTCACCTACGATTTTTTGCACCAGCTCTTTGGTGGCGGCCATTCGAGGTTTCTGGACCTCCAACTTCTCACACTCGTGATCATCTTGGTGACGGTGGCTGTGAGGCGAGAAGAAGAGACCAATGTTAGTTTACCAGAACAAGAAATGCATCCCTTTTTATTTCACTACAAAAACTTGAAATCTTGCCCAGCATCTAGTCAGAACAAGTCTCTCCTCCTGATATCAGACACACTGACTTCAGGAGTCACACTGCAGAGAGGTCTTGTTTTTAGACAATGCTTCATCTTGTTCAGTCGAACCCTCTCATTCTGAGTCGTGTCTCAGAGGAAACACATCTTTATTTATTAGGAAATCACCAACTGACAGAGAACTGAACACTTTTGAGCATGTGCGGCTTATATTGTAACAACATCTCCTGATTCTGGTGAAATATAGTTCAGAATGAGTTCTCCTGATAATCACAAGATGTGATTGATCTAAATATCGCTTCTTATTTCAAGACATCTCACCGAGCTCTTGTTCTCTTGTTCTATTGGCAGATTTTTGGACTTATTTCAAGTGAAAACCGCTTCTTTTCATTATTCTTTAACTTGTTTTGGAGCAACATGTTTCCAGTGGTTTAAGGAAAGGTGAACGTACGCCAAGCAGAGCTGTTTCCCACACTGCGGACAGACGACAGGCAGCAGCTCCTTCCCTCTGCAGTCTTGAAACGAACACGGATAACTTTTATTTCCTCCAGTCGTCCGAGGCTCGTTCTTCGCCGGCTCCTGGTGAAAGAAAAGGATCAAAACATTTAAACAACCGAGCCGAAACAGATCTGACGTTAAAAAAGTGTGTTTCTAAAGATGGAGCGCAGCGTACCTCCGAACACGAGTGGGCCTCTCTGCTCCTGTGGTCCAGGCTGAAACAAAAACACATTTAATCAGAAACAAGAAGTAGTTAAAGCATCAAAGTTCATTTAATGCAACTTCGTACGTCTGCTTCCCTGTAGTTCAGAGAAACATATCGAGCATTTAACACATATTAGTATATTTAAGAATTGGGACGATACGTAGTGAGCAATGATTAAATCCTGTTGGTGGTTTATGTACAACTTTATTAGTTATAAATATATCTGTGACGGATCAGCTGATAAAATGAGAATGTAGCTTCGACTTTTACTCAAGTACAAGATCTGAGTACTTCTCCCACCTCGGTAGTAAATGAGCAAATGATGATTGTTTTAAAGCCTTTTGTCTTTCTTAATACTTTTCAATCTGTGGACATTTCTTGCTGAATTCTTACCAGAAACTTCCGCGGCACAGATCACAAACGAACGGGAGGAAATCTGAACCAGAAGAGAAAGGAGAACAGCGTCAGTCTGAGAGGAAGAAATAACAACAAAACATTGAAGCCTGAAACTTATGGTTTTAACCTCTGAGGGACATTTAGGCCCCGCCCACACGAAGACGAAACGGGTGTTATCCGCTTTAGTTCTTCATCGTATGGACGGTTTGCGGAAATTTAGCTAAATCCACCGCGGAGAATAAACAGAAGGGCAACCGTGGCAACCATGCTGGGCGGGGGGGTGTATTTTGTGGCAGACTACAGCGCCACTTACAGGCCCAGCATATGTACTACAGCGCAGTGGCAGGCCGTGACTTTTATACCTAGGCCCTCTGACCCCCACACCTTCCCTCGAGTTATTACGTCACAGCGTATACTTCAGCGGAATATCAGAACAACGGCCCGGGGTGCAAAACGCATCAATGAAAGCGACCCTCTACCACACGAAACAACACCTGTAAATAACCCTATTTGTGTTCTTTCAAATTGAAAAGGATATCGCATTGTGTTTGTTACTTTCGTTGCAGTTGTATGTCTTAAGTGTAATTTGGCATGCTTTTATTTTGAAGGCGAGTTAACGCTGTTGACAGGAAGTTGTTGTTGCTATGGAAACAAGAAAAGTTTCACAGCGGGTGGAACTTGTCATAAAGTCTGCGATAATAACACCCACCCATTTAGAGGGAAGATATGATTGGTCAATTGTACTGTCATTTGACATTACTCTCTCGTTCAGTTACTACAGCTGGGCCCTCTGTGAATTCACAGCTGGACCGCCTGGACGTCCAACAGCTCCTCTCTTCACAGTAACTCGCAGAGACGAGCTTCTTTCATTTAACCCTTCACATTCCAACAGAAACTGAATAGGCAGATTCGAAGGATTTATTTCTTTGGAAATGTTATTTTAAATACAATTAAATCAAGTTATTTTCGTAAAACTAATGAAAAATATAACTAAACAAATAACTAAAAAATATATATATTTTTTTTAAATGCTTTTAAATATTATTTTGTAGAATATCGAGAGCCCTGACGGCTCACAACTGGTTTAAAGGTTACATTATTTTATATTTACAAACAATACTTTTAACTATAACTCAAAAA